GCCCCCCGGCATGCAGCACTGCACCGCACCGGCCATGTGTGTACTGTATGCACCGGTGTGGCTTCCCGCTCACTTGGTAGACGGACGGAGGGCGACCGCCGGCAGCGGGGAGGGCAACCTGCGGTCAGCAGATGCGCCCCTCTGACGCCGCGGGGCGGAGCGGGTGGGGAGGAGGAGGAGATCGGCGGGGGCGTGCGGCCCGCGGTCCTCTCGGGCGCGCGAGCCGCGAGGTGCAAAGTGGCGGGGCACGGCGGCGGGGCGGAGGGAGAGCCGATAATCACGCGAGGGCCGCAGAGTGGGTGACGCACGGCTGCCGTGCGCGAGTCACCGGGAGTCACCCTGGCCCAGCTCACGGCGACAGTGTACCAGGTGGCTGATTCGTCCCACCCACATTCGTGTCGTGCGGGCTGCGGGCCGGTCTCTGACAATGGCCGAGGGGTCCATAACTTGAAAATTTCGTGCACACTGTACCAGAGGTGGCTGACTCACGCCGTGCACTTTCGTAGTTACACTGTACCGCATGCACGTGCGCAGGGGCGGGTTGCCTATTCGCACGGTGCCAAAGAGAGCCGTGGGCAGCGAGGATAGGCAAATGGCAAATCCCGCACGCAACCGTGCATGCGGTACAGTATAACTGCGAAAGTGCGTGGCGTGAGTCAGCCACGAGGTCCAAATGTTGAAAATTCGTGAATATTACAGACTGGGCATAAAAGAATGTGAATAAGAAGTCTAACTTGTACTAATTTTACGTAAATATCCGAAGTTGTGAGTTGTGGGCGGTACAGACGTACACGAAGGTGGACTACTATGAAGACGCCACAGTATCGGCAAGGGGGGCAAGGGTTTTGACGAGTACGGTACGGCTAGCACGAGTACCAGTGCGGGGGGGGGGGGGTACTGTACAGCTCTGCAGTGAGGTGTCTGGAGTCACGCCCCGGAGGCGAAAGCGCGCCAATGAACGTGGCCGACAGCGCAGCGCAGTGGTCACCCGGAGCAGGGACGGTACGGGGGTCAACTTTCTACCGGCCGCCGCAGCACGGCACAGCACGGATCTGCTCCATTTGTTGGCACCTGGGCGGTGGGGGTAGAGTATAGGAAGCGTTACTACACTTGTTCGCGGCATGGCCGCTACGCCCCGCCACGCCACGGCCGTCACGCACGCACGCGCCACGCCGCGCCCCTCGATTCTCCGATTCGCGCGGCCTGCAGGGCTAACTGCAGGGCATGGCACTGCAGCAGCGGCGCGGCGGCCAAGCCCGGCCGGCACACAACACAATGTGCGATAGAGAGACAAAGTCGTGAGAGACAGGCGGGCGGGAGGAGAGGGCGTGGCCCCGTCACCTGTCTATCCCTCTCCCTTTCTCTCTCGCACTCTGCAGTCCAATCGCCGCTGCTAAGCGGCCGGCAGCAGGACGGACGCTCGTGCCCGGGCCGCCGCTGCAGGATGCAAACGACGCCAGCAGGATGCGGGCGACACAATCGGGCCCGGAAACCTTCGCCCCCCGCGCAGCTCCGCGCAGCCGCCAGCAGGATGCGGGCGACACAATCGGGCCCGGAAACCTTCCTCGCGACGTACGGCGCGACCTACCTGCCGCTGCCGC